GGAGGGCCCAGAGCTGCAGCCGGGCGCAGAGGGCCGGCGCGGCCCCAGCGCAGCTCCGCCCCGGCTTCTGGCCGCCGCGGCCTCCTCGCCAGGCTCTTACCCCGGTGCCGTTGTCGCACACCACCACCTTCCTGCCCTGGCTGTCCATGGTCCGCCCCGGGAAGAGCAGCTGCCGTCGCACAACCTACAACCGCCGCCGCCGCCGCCGCCGCCACCTAGCCCTGGCCGCTTCCTCCTCCTCCCTCTTCGCGGCCCCTCCTTCAGCCCAATTTTCTCCCCTTACCCGGAAGTTGCAGCCCGGCCCCGCCCGTCATTTAGCCGAAGGCCAGGGCGGAAGGGGCGGGACAGAACGGAGGTGGCAGTGACTGGCAGCGATGTAGACCAATAAGAAACGGATATAGGTCGTCCGTCTCGGTTGGCCCGCCCCAGTACCCTTCCTAGTTGCCTCCGCTGGGTTTCAATGGCGGCGAGTGTCTGGAGCGCTGTGGTTCTTTCTCTAAAGTGTCGCGGGCGTTAAGGGCGCGGCTTCACGGACTGCGGAAGACGCAAGCAGGTGAAGGACACCGGGTCTGCCGCGAGGTGGCAGTGGAATGTGGTAGAGAAGCCGTCCGGGAGGCGGGGAACAAATGTGGAGGTCCTTGGGTACTCCACCATGCAACATAGATCGGGGTCGTTGTTTCCAGCCTTCTCAGTGGACAGAGCTGGAGTAGATGAACACAGTTTTTTGAAACCATGTGTTTATTCGGTTGCGGCCCAACTCTGCTCCAGCTGCCGCACGAGCGAGAGTGGGTTTCCAGCCCCATTGCTCCCCGCTCCCTCTCCCAGTAGACCGTGCTGTTCCTACCGTTAAGTTCGTGTCCTTACTGTAACCCAGAGCCTCGGCTTTGAAATCAGACGACCCCAGTTTCAGATCTGACCCAGCCAGACAAAAGTTTTGGGAATGGGTATACCCTTGTCTTTCCGTGGGGATGATGATCTCTACCTCCGTGGGCGGTTGCGGGGATAACATTCTGTGCACACACAAGAGCTCATCCAGGGCTAGTTATTTAGTATTACTCTCCTATTTTCTGACCTTTGGTTCTCTTGATCCATAATACCTCCCTTTTATTTTATTTTATTTTTTCTCTTTTTGAGACCGGGTCTCGCTTTGCAGTTCAGGCTGGCCTTGAGCTCACTTTGTAGCCCAGGCTGGTCTCGAACTTGCAACGATCCTCCTGCCTCAGCCTCTGTGCTGGGATTACAGGCATGCGCCACCACGCTCGACCAATACCTCCCTTTTGAAAATATTTATTTTATGGTGCTGGGGATTGAACCCAGGGTGTTGCCTATACTAGGTAAGCACTTTTCACACTGAGCTATATCCCCAGCCCTTTCTATTTTATTTTGAGACAGGGTCTTGCTAAATTACCTAGACTCTCCTGCCTCAGCTTCTGAAGGAGCAGGGTTCCCAGGGGATGTGCCACTACATCTGGCTTCACTTTTTTCATTCTTTGTTAATTCTGGCTTTTTTGAGCAGGGTCTTTATATGTAATTCAGATTGACTTTGAACTCACTATGTAGCCCAGGCTGGCTTCAAACTTGCAGTGATTCTCCTGCCTCAGCATACAGAGTACTGAGATTACAGGTGTGCACCACCATCTCCAGCTGTGTTCTTTTAATCAATGAGTATGAGTAGACTTCTGCTCACACTTCGAGACCCAGCTTGTCATACTGGTCTGCAGACTTTGCTGATATCCTGAAGATGTTCTTTACTCTTGCTGTTACTTTACCATGGATATGTGAATAACATGGTGCTTATTATACTCAGTGGTAGAGTACTTGCTTAGCATGTGCAGGGCAATGGGTTCGACTCCCAGAACCACACACATGCACACACACAAATAAATTTAACAACTCAATGATAAGACAAATTATCTAATTTAAACGTGTCTGAAGCCAGGTGTGGTGGTGCATGCCTGTAATCCCAGCACTTGGGAGGCTGAGACAGGAGGATCATTGTGAGTTCAAGGCCAGTCTGGGCTACATAAGTGAGTTCAAAGCCAACCTGCACTATATATCAAGACTGTCTCCCCAACCCAAAAAACAGAAAAAGCATCTGAAAATGTGAATGCCTTGTAAGCACATGAAAAAAATATTCAACATCTTAATCATTAGGGAAGTGTGAATTGAAAACAAAATAAGATACCACTTCATACTTGCTAGAATGACTGCAATCAAGAAGGCAGGAAATAGAATTAGTGTTGGGACTGATGTAGAGAAACTGGAACCCTCATGTTTCTGATGAGAATTTAAGATGGTGCAGCCGGATGTGGTGGCGCACGCCTATAATCTCAGCATTCGGGAGGCTGAGGCAGGAGGATCACAGTGAGTTTGAGACCAGCCTGGGCTACAAAGTGAGCTCAAGTCCAGCCTGAACTGCACAGTGAGACCGTGTCTCAAAAAGACTAAATAAATAAATAAACAAATAAAAAAAGATGGTGCAGTCACAGCTTGAGAGTTTTTCCAAAAATTGAGCATAAAATTACCATGTAACCCCACAGTTCTGCTCCTAAATACATACTCAGAAGTTTCCATAATTTTGGGGGCGGGTCTTTTGAGACAGGGTCTCACTGTATAGTTCAGGCAATGATTCTCCTGCCTTAGCCTCCCAAGTGCTGGGATTACAGGCCTGCGCCACCATGCCTGCCTAGTTTCCATAAAATTGTATACAAATTTTCCATAAAATTGTATACAAATGTTTTTAGCTAAATTACTTATAATAGGTAAAAAGTGGAAGTAATACAAATGTCCATCAATATGAATTGAGTAAACAATTTGTAGTACCATGTATCCATACAGCAGAATATTATTTAGCAATAAAAATGAACCAGTACATGTCAGGAGGGCTGGCGCACACCTATAATCCCAGCACCTGAAGGGCTGAGGCAGGTGGACCACCAAGAGTTTGAGGCCAGTCTGGGCTACATAGCGAGACCCTGTCTCAAAAATCCAAAAAGAAACAACAATGGGAAAAGAACAATATGTGCTGTAATATAGACGAAGCTTAAACAACATTATATGAGACAAAGAAAGGCTGTACAGCTATTAAGCTTTAAAGCTATTCCATTTCAAGTTCTAGAGAGGAAAAGCACATTTGTAGATACACAAAGAAAATTAGTGATTGCTGGTGTTGGAATTGTGATCCAGGATTGGTTGCAAATGGTCATGAGACCATTTTATGGGATGATAAAAAAAGTTCTAAAACTAGATTTTGGTCATTGTTTTGTTTTTTGAGAGAGCCTTGCTAGGTAGTTCAGGCTGGCCTTGAACTCACTATGTAGCCCAGGCTGGCCTCAAACTTGCCACAATCCTCCTGCCTCAACCTCTCAGGTGCTGGGATTACAGGTGTGTGTCACCATGCCTGGCTCTACATTTTGATAATTGTTACATAGCTGCAGATTTACTAAACATCATCAAACTGCACACTTACAATAGGTAAATTTTGAATTAGGTGAATGATATTGTATACCTTCAACAAAACTGTTTAAAAATTTTTTTCATTAAAATTATATATTTCCAGTGAGAGTTCTTTTTTTAAATTGTTACAAATAGGTAGAAAACCTTTGTTCCTTCATTCATTACATTTCTGAGAACAGAAGCCTGAGCACCTTTCATTCACTGCCATCATTTCTCTGTGAGTTCATCATCACTTTGTTCATGAACTCTCTGCCTACCCCTATGTCTTCAAGATTTCTACCTACTTTCTCTTCCAGTAGATTTAGTGTTTCTGTTTTAATATTTAGATCTTTAATCCATTTTGACTTTAGTTTAGTGCATGATGATAGATAATGATCTAGTTTCAGTCTTCCGCATGTGATGAGCCAGTTTTTCCAGCACCATTTATTAAAGAGGCTCTCTTCCAGTGAACATGTTTGGCCCCTTTGTCAAAGATAAAGTGACTGACTTGCGGGGTGTGGTGGCGCACGCTTGTAATCCCAGCACTCAGGAGGCTAAGGCAGGAGGATCCTTGTGAGTTCAAGACCAGCCTGGGCTACAAAGTGAGTTCAAGGCCAGCCTGAACTACATAGCGAGACCCAGTCTCAAAAAGACAAAAAAAAAAAGATAAAGTGGCTGAGTGTGTTTGTGGCTGTGGCTGCATCTTCTAGTCTGTTCCATTGATCCTCAGGTCTGTTTTCTTACCAATATCATGCTGACTTTATCACAGTAGCTTGTAGTATAATTTCAAATCAGGGACTCTGGTGCCTCCTCCCTTGCCTTTGTTGTGCAGGATTGCTTTTGCTATTTTGGGTCTCTTCTGGTTCCAGATGAATTTTAGGAATGTTTTCTCTAGATCTGTGAGGTATACTAATGGTATTTCAATCAGGATTGCATTGAATCTGTATAACAATTTTGGGAGTATGGTCATTTTCACAATGGTAGTTCTTCTCCACGAGCAAGGAGTATCTTTCCATTTTCTGAAATCCTCTTTGATGTCTTGTTTCAGAGTACTGTAATTTTCACTATATAGATCTTTTACTTCTTTTGTTAGTTTGATTCCTAAGTATTTCAATTTTTTGGATGCTATGATAGCTAAAATAATTGTACTACTAATTTCTATTGGTTTATTGAAAGGAACAGTTAACGTTTAATTGTTTGATCAGTCTTATATGCCTATACCTAGTTATCTGAGCAACTACTTTGAAGATAACAATATGTAATACAACAACCATTGTTAATTTTTTATCATCTTGTTTTGAAATTCTGTATTGTTTTTTATTGTTTTTGTGTTGTTTTTGTCTTTGTTTTTGTTATTTTGTTTTTGTTTTTCTCTTTAAAGTAAAACCAAACCAAACAAAACACAGGAACCTGTGGGCAAAGTGCAGAGTCCCACAGCTTCCAAGAGCCGGGACTGAGCCTGAACAAATACTCAAAGCCCCTGATCCAGAGAAATGATGGCCGTGAGTGAAAGGTGCTCAGGCTTCTGTTCTCGAAATGTAATGAATGAACGAGCAAAGGTTTTCTACCTATTCGTAACAGTTAGAAAAAAAAAAAAAAAACTCTCACTGGAAATATATAATTTTAATGAAAAATTTGTTACTTGTCCAAATTTACTTATCATATAGCAGACCCAGGATTAGACACAGGTGTGCCTGACTCGCACGCCTGAGCTCTGTAGCTTTTTGTTTTTGTTTTTGTCTTTATGTCTCGTGCTGTCATCCAGACTGGCCGCGAACTCCCAGCCCTTCACTTCAGTCTCCCAGAGTGTGGGAACTATAGGTGTGTGCCGCCACACCCAGCTACTCCTAAATTGCTTAGTACATCTAAGGATAAGCATAATCTCCTACACAATGACAGTATTCTCACAGCTAAGAAAAATTGGCAATAATTCCATCTCATACAGAATAATTTTGTATCAATAATCCCATTCCAAAGCATGTATTTCTCAAATTTTCCCTAAAGTATTTATAGGTGTCTTACCCCAAAACCAAGATCCAACCATGGTTCATATGTTACTTTTGTCATTTTTATCTTTTTAGTCTCTCTTTAAAATTCAATAATTTTTATTAGTACATG